AAAGAGCCTGATTTTTACACTTTCAAAGTTGTAAACATCAGGGGCAAGCTAGTCTCTCTGGAGAAATACAGGGGCTCGGTAAGTCTGCACGGAGATGGGCAGCTCTCGCCCTGACTCACTAACCAGCCAGTCCTTGCATGTCTGCAAAACCCAAGTGGGGGTGGAGAGATTGTACATTAACTTGGTGCGCGCATGCAGATAGATTCGGGTTTACGATTCTTCTTTAACTGGAGTGTTGCCTGCTTCCTTTGGTACCGCGCCATAGGTCTTTGCACTCTTTAAATAAAACGTTTGCAGTCTAACCTCTGTGTGTGTCCGCGTCTTCTCCTTGTGCAGGCTGCTGCCTGTAGACGTGGCAGTCAGGGAATGCCTGCCTGCCTGCCTGCCTTCCATTCAGCAGGGTGAATTGCACTGGGTTGTGGCTATTAAATTTGAAGCTCAGGAAGTTTGTACCTTTGTATAACTTACTTACTTTTGGAGCTTGCTTCTGCCTTTTAACTGCATGACTTTTAGTAAATTATTTTTACCTAAATCCCATTCCGTTTTAATGTTCTGCATTAAAAAAAAAAAAAAAGATGGGATTTAATCAGCGGCTAATGGAGTTAACAGATTTCATCATAATTAGTAAAAAAGCAAGAGACGTGATAAAGCAGTTATTTTAATATCAGCATCTAGTGAAATTGCAGCAACATCATGTTATTCCAGTTGTCGCTTTTTAGTGGTACAGAGCAATATGAAGAAAGGCATGTAGACACACATATACTTTTATGATATCTTTTAAATTCCATTCACATATTACATTCAGGAGTTCTAGGCAGAGCTTTCCTTCCCATTTTAAGAACCATCTCCTTGAATGTAACCTGATTTTTTTTTTTTTTTTTTTAGTTGTTTGGCCATCTAGGAAAGATGGTCAGTACCTGTGGAAGAGTGAAAAGGGAAGTTAGCACACGGGGCGCATAATACTATAAGCTCTCATAGCCACATTCACAAATTACAGAAGCTGAAATCAACATAAAGCCCACAACTGCCACTCTTGGCACTCAAGTGACACATCTTCTGTGATAAGCCAGGCAGTCCAACAGCTTAGCTGCTGCTCAGAAAGGCAGGCACCACTTCTCACTTTCACCCTTACTCTCCAGCTTTGTGTTTCCACCTTCCCTTTCCCCCTCCTTGGGTACTTCACTGAGGTGTCTTGAGCTCACTAGTCCACAGCAGCATGTGACTAAAACATTGGCAGGAAGGCAGAGAAGGCCCACAGGAGGAGATGCACATTTTTCTGAGCTCAGTAGAAAGGGATACCGGTAGATTTGGATCAAATGAGAGGTCTGAATCTTATCTGGTCCAGGTCCTCCTCCCCCTCTGTTCACAATTCAGATAGAGCAGAACTGGTCACATGTACACTCAAATATCTATACTGGAAAAACCATGGAACCTATTTAATATTAAGCAATATTTGCTTTTTTCCTAGTTCCTTCCAAAGGCTCTGTCAATAAATCCTGTTTTGTCTGCAGGTCATCTGCAAATCTGTCTAAATAAGCAAATACCACCTGTAGCTTCTCTACCTCAGGGCCAGAATCCACATGGAAAGGATTAAAGGGGGAACTCAGAGGAATTCCTTACAGCCGCCCTGCAGAGAGCTGAGGGTGTTCCTGCTCTCTGGAACAAGCTGCAAAGCCTGCCCTGGTATCTCATGAATACACCGAGTTAGGGGTGTGTGTCTGTATCTCCAATGGTGCTGTGATACCAGGCCCTCCTCGAGGTGTGACTGATTTCATAAGGGAGAGCTCTAGAGCCGTACCTTGGAAAAGGTAACGCCATTGGTGAATGGTACTTCTTGATCTCTGCTAGGCCATATGGAATAGTTTATTCCAAAAAAGTGATGACCAGCTTCTGTATGGAACAAAAAGATTTGCATTCAGAGAGCCTATTAATGTTCAGGCTGCTGTTTGAGAATGCATGTGCACAATTTTAAAGAAAATTATAGCAATAAATCACATCCCTTTCTGTCATTATGTTGTCAGAGCTCAATATCAAGGTAGACAAAGGTTAATTAGAACTCCCATTTATTTCTTAAAATAAACCCACTTAAATCTGAAGTTAGGTAAGTAATCTTAAGAAGTAGGTTTATCATAATATTTTAAAGCTATTAAAAGAAAGCAAATAATATATAAGTACTACGTATGTGCTGCTGATGTTTTAAAGAAAGTGAGTCTCTAGTTAGCCCCTGGAACAATAGTCTGCTAATTGCTAAACCTGCTTTTAACAGCCTTAAGCTTTCTGGCAGATGTAGAGAAAACATTTTCTTCAATTCAGTCACTCAACTAATTTAGTTAAATAACTACTTAATTTGTAGTCAAGAAACTAACTGGGAATTGAAAAAATCCAAAAGCTTTCAAAGTATAAAAAAAAAGTCTGCTAATTCTAAGAACACAAGAACCATGCTAAGTAGAAACAATCAGTGCAATTCATGACTTGCAGAATCTTTCTTCAAGAACTATTATTAATATAAATTATTGTGTATTCAGGTCATTGAGATAATTTGTCTTAGTAAGAAAAAAGTAAGACTGATCGATATTATTTCATTTTCCATTCAAGTGCATCTTGATACAAATCACAAGTACCCTCCGTTATATAGTAAATAAGAAATGTACTAACAATTCTGAAATAACAAAAATGAAAAAAATTAAGGAACAGATTTTTTTTGCTGAAATAAATGTGCACAGACATAACCTATCCTCCACTTCAATACAAATATCAAAAATATGTGAGGGAGTACTCCCTTTTTATGGGGGCATAAGAAATTACATTACCGGGATGCTAAAAATTTGGCATGCATGCTACAAAATCAGGTGTGGTATTACACCTACCTGAAAGCAAAGAAAGGGAGAACTATTACAACTGAAAAAAAGAGTACCAGAAGTGAAAGGGATCAAAAAGCTGTCTGTTTTACTGTGTTGCGCAAGAAGGCCATCCTCCTATGCTTTTTCCAGGCTACCATACTGATGTTGACCCATCTACATTAAAAATGAAGAGCAGTGATGTGTGGCTGGAAAAGAGTCAGTGGGATCCAAATAAGATTAGTTTTCTATCATCTATCTACCTGTCTAATTCAATAAAGCATATATTTTATTTTATCATCTAGATATGCTGTAAGAGACAATATTCTTACCAAAAATAGTATCTATTTGGGAGTCAGAACTCCCAAGCATCAACTGTTCCCTGCTGCGTTTATACCTATCTATAGTAGTTCCTACGTACCTGCCTGCCTGCCTACCTACCACACAGCTAAGTAGAGTGTGCTGAAGTGTAATTAAGCAGTGTTAGTGCAGCGCTTTGGAAATCTTGAACCAAAGGTACTATAATAATGTAAAAGCATTAGGCACTATAACAATGTAAAGTATTATTTTACTATTGAGAGTAATGCTAGGGACTTTGCATCACACCTCTCTGCAATACAAGAATGTAGTATTACTGAATGTGCATAAATACAGAGCATAGCTACTTAATTACTGGACAAAGTATTGCTATTTTTTTCCATGAAGGTAACAACTCTGCGAGTTGGTGTAATCTGACACTTGTCGCTGGTTCTTCCATCAGTTAGATGGAGCCAGTTAAGAATCCCCAGGTCTAAAAACCTAAGTATCTACTGTCTCTGCTAACAGATCCACAAAGGGTTACCTGAAGCTGATAGCAGATTCATAAATCTCTCCAGGGGTCTTTTCCTCAAGGAGATACACTGGTGTAAACATTAAGTAAACCAAGAAATATTTTGGTAAGGTCCAGGATGAATTGTTTGCATTGCACACTAGGTGGTGTACTTGACTTGCACTCTCAGAGCCTAAAGTCAGTCAAGAGGCATATTGAACTTAATTTAAATCATTAATAATTGTAAGAAGTCAAAGTACAGCCTCTTCATGAGAACAAAAAGAGTGACAGTTATTTATTAGAATAAAATTTAGACAAAAAAGAAATCACCGCGTTTAATCACTTCTAGTACCAGACACTTGAAAGATAACTTGGTAAAGATTTTTAAATGATAATTTTAAATTTTCCTTGTGAAATACTAATAAATCTTGAAATTTTTTTATTATATGTGTTAGTTATACTTTTAGGAGGTTTGCACTATTAAATTACGAAGTTCAGTAATAGAATGCATTTTTCTAAGGAAAAAAGAGAAGCAGAATGTGTCTGCCATTCTAAGAACTGCTGCATGTAGTTTCCTCCTATTTTGTGGGAGAACATTTGGAAGTTTGCACCATTTGCAGTGTGAGCTCTCATGCCTTTCACCACCATGCTGAGTAATCACTGGTTTTAAACAGCTCTAAATTAAAATTGTTGTTTCTTTTTGAGTGAATTCTTTCAAGCCCTCCTAACTTCAAAATCAAGTAAAAGTTATAAAAGCTTGATTGTTTTCATTGGCAAGTCATCTTTCATATCTGTTATAATATGAACATAATACTTACATAACCTTATTTCCCCCAAACCTCCAATGATAAATTCTTATATTACCATTGTATTTGGGATAAAGGACTAATAGATATGAATACAGTAAGGTATATGAATATTTCTGCATCATGAGAATGACGGGTCTTAAACTATATTTAAAAAAACCTCTAGAATTTTATATGAAAGAACTACGTGTCATTTCAACTCTTAGTGTTACAATTTATCTTTACTTCAATCATCCTAAAATACAGTTGTCACTATGCTTGGTAAACACAGATTATTTAAAAAGAACAGAACTGCTAACAGTTATTTTTTACATCCAATATATAAGTTCTATTTGAAATGCTGACAGTCTGCAACAGGAATGCATCATAAAATTATTACCTCTTCTCTGAAAAAAAAAAATCTAATTATACACCATGTCTTTGGATGTTTTAGGAGACTGAATTTAAAATTTCAGGTAGAGCTTGTAAATGTAGTCTGAATTAATGTGATGCTTTGGAAGTTAGCTAGATGGCTCCAGATCATATTTCACATGCAGGTGTACAGGGATTGCTTAGATTGTATTCTGTTGACACACTACACCACAAAGAAGATTACATCACCTTCTGCTTTATAAGATTACCTGTCTTCCAGGGAAAACATTGCAGCTCCAAAACCACTTTAAATATAGCCATATACCTATAGAAGGTACAAAATACACCAAGTAAGTGTTAATGTTTAACGTAAGAAATTATAAACACCAACATCCCCTTAGCTTTTTCTTTATTCATTCTTACCCCTTCTAAGGGATTTCATCCCATACCTTAACCCAGATTGTGGGCTTTTATATGCCAGTTTGTTTTCTGGCCTTAAAAACTCTATACACATGTAGTCATTTATTTTTCATATAATTTATTGGATGCAGTCTATTCATATTTCCTATATACTTTCATATTTTGTATAAAAACATACACATAGGAATATGGAACAATAGAAACATTAGAATCCAAAGTTTAAATTGAGCAAAGCCAGTGGTCACAGACACGAAAGTATGAGACCTGGAGTCAAGATTTTTTACTTCCTTTTCTTGCCTTGCAGCTACTTGCTGTGTAATGTGATCAGGTCAGTTAATGTGCATAAGCATCAGGCTTTCCTCTTGCGGCATTGGGCCCTTCAACACTGCTGTCTCACAGTGACAATAATGAAATTTCCAAACTCTTGTAGAAAGATCCAATGTGAATAGCTACTGTTGTTGTACTAGCACTGGGGAATGTGTTGGCTACATTGATTGAATTAAAACTTTTTTTGCAATTTGAGAATGAAGGACCAGCTTCTGGGCTGATGTATAATCTGTAGAAACCCACTGGATTCAGCGTAAACCAGGCAGAATTTCGGTTCCCAAATCATAATGCTTTTACTGCACTATGCCTAATTTTAATCTAGGTGGGTAGAAACTTTTTTAGTATTATAATATTTATATTGCCTTATGACTTTTCAAATTGGTCTGAAAAAAGGAATAGAATGTAGCTATATGTAACAGAAACATCACTATAAAGTGCATAATGCTATTTTTATTAATAAAACCATATTGTATCTAAAAGATCTATGACATTCAGCTTTAATCCACTCTCAAGAAAATATTAGAATGGCCTCAATTTAAGTAGAATGAGTGGCAACTCTCACAAAATTTGTAAGAATAATAAAAACTAAGTCTAAAAATAAATTCTAGAAGTTATTTAAGGATAAAATATCTCAAAAACCAATGGAAAGCTCTTCAAGGCCTTGAGAAACTGTGTAATATGTGTCAGCTCAGGGTTAGATCACTTAATTTCCCTAAGAAATTCTTGGCAGAATCTGTTCCACCATGTATTCTTCTTACACATCCCTCTATTTTCCTATAGTGCTCATCTGTGTTTGGCATCTTCCTTCTGTTGGATCTGCATAGGCAGAGATAACATGCCTGGTGGTAATGTCTGAATGACACAATGCGTACAACGTAAAACATAATCAGCTACAGGAATGACTTCAAAGGATAGTGGGCATAGTCATCACTTCTTGGAATCCTAATTGAGGCAGTAAACCTTTAGGCAAAAACTGTTGTCGTTTTCTCACAACTGAGTAGATTTACTCTGGAAATGGTGGGAAATTTTACAGTCCATACTGCATAGACCAACCCAAAATCCTGTAATTGCTTCTATTAACTTCCAGGTCAAGACATCTACACTAGCAGTGATAAATGGATCAGCCAGTTCTCTATGAGTACTAAATTCTGTACAAGGAAAGATGCTGCAGAACAGATGTGTCACAACAGATAAATAAACTACCAAAATACATTAATTTGCAAGTTTCTTTCATGCAGCTTGGTATATCTTAGCTGGGCGGTCATTTCTTAAATATGCTTAGAAACTATCCAAAAGGCAGAACGGAGAAACATAGATTCTCTGTAAACTGAGAATTAAGGTTGTTTAGCAGTTTATTGATTATCTTCATGGTTGCCAAATGGGAATACATAAAAGAAATATTAAATCTTCCTGCTGTGAACAGAACTCGAAGTAGTTTCAAACATAAGTGTTCAGTCACAGTTCTCTAGACATTCTCATTTTTTGAAAATAATCTGCATCCCAGCCTACCTGTTGGAAAACTAACATGTGCAGCACATTTTTTAATCTCTCTTGTTCTTCAGGTGTCACTAGTTGTCAACGTTGCAAGTGAGTGTGGGTATACAGATAGCCACTACAAGGCCTTACAACAGTTACAGAGAGACCTCGGCCCATATCATTTCAATGTGCTGGCATTCCCATGCAATCAGTTTGGGCAGCAAGAACCAGACACTAACAAAGAAATTGAGAGTTTTGCGCGAAAGACTTATGGTGCCTCCTTTCCTATGTTCAGCAAAATTGCAGTCAGTGGAGCCGGTGCAATTCCTGCCTTCAAGTACTTAATTGGTGAGTAATCTGGAACAATGGAGGGTTTTTTCCCCAGTCTAGAATTCCTCTGACACAAAATACCATCTGACAGAAAAAAGATACCTATGACTGTGTTCACCAAATCATAGCGGGGAATTGTCAGGCTCAAAGAGGTCAGAACTCATGGAGTCCATCCTCCTGCACAAGGCAGGATTTCTCTCTGTCTCACCCCCGACAGCTTTGTCTAACCTTCGAAAAAGATCTCCAGGGATGAAGACACTACCACAACACATGCCCTGTAAAAGCTAGTCTAATAAACCTCTACATGGAATACAAATTTTGAAATATTGTCCTGTATGCATACAACACCTGATCTTCCTTTTTCCACTTCGCAGTCGTATAAGTGCTTCTCCTGTGACACGACTGCTGCAGGTTGGATTTATAAGATTCATCTCAAGAGCTGTAGGATAAGTGGAAGCAAAGCACCTACATAATTTACTTCAACAACCAAAAAGTGAAACCAGGCACTAAGAGATGTCCTTGAATACTCCCTTTCTCATTCCTTGCCAAGCATTGGAATAGCCATACTGTACAGTTCCTCCAGTTCTAATCTGCATTATAGCTAGCTAGCACTGAGACCTGAAGAGGTTTTGCTGGTTCTTAGCAGACAGCTGACAAAATACACTGTAAAGCAGGATATTGTCTATCAAGGCACTACTTTCTCTATCAAGGCACTACTTTTGTTGCACTGAATGAATGCTCTAAATACCATTTAAATGCTAAACTAAAATGTCAGTCTTTATCCAATGTGAAGGAAATGTCTTCCAGCAATGATATACAATAAAGCCCAATATGACATGGTATCACCTGAGCTGCATTATGCAAGGACCATATCCTTTCTTTTCTCTAGCACCACAGTGTTCTCCCACATACCACTGAATTTAAAGGAGGGTTGGTAGTGTTATTTTTGACTACCCCAAGCACACCTCCTTCCAGGTGTCTGTAATGGATCTTTCTGCTAGCCAAACTTCCCTTTAATCCTCTTCACATCCTTCCATTTGTGTTTTGCCCAGCGCGGTGGTTACTGCAGACATGTCACATGAAACTTGCAAAACTTCTGTTTCCCTGTTGGTCCACATGCAAAGGGAGGCTGCTGGAGGCAGTATATTTATGCAGCATAATGACAAGATAGTCAGCAGTGTAGGTCTGGCTGTGTCTTGATGATACTTTGAAATATCTTCTGATTCCTTATGAAATTTTGCCCAACGTATAAACAATGGAAAAAGATGCTAACTTGTCTGTAGCATCTGTACTTGTGCTATTAGTGAGATGAAGCTCCTGATTGAAAATCCTGAAAATTTTGTTAGTCATGTAGCAGAATAGTGAAGTATAAGAATGTGACTCACATAAAATGAGTATGTGGTCATGGAGGGAAAAACTGTAGTAGGTGAGGATTAGGAGGAAACCTCCTGGAACAATTTACTTTGTTATTTCTTCATGTAGCATTTCTTGAAACATTCTTCTGAAGCGCATGATACTGGGTGCTTTTGGAGGAAAAATTCTGGATAAGCAAACAAATAATCAGTCCCGATACAGCTATACTGTTACGCCAAATTCCATTTTCCTATCAATGTTCAACTATTTCAGATTTATCTAAATAGCACAGACACGTGCACACATGCACGCACACACTTTAACACCGATTATGGTGCTTTCTCCTGTCTCTGTCTGTCTCAAGCTTGACTGTTTCCATTAGTCTCCAGGGGGCTACTGTCTAGTTAAAGCTCCCTGTCTGTCAGAAGATTAATCTTATTATTCAGTCTGAACTCCCTCTTAATTTTACATTCCTTCTTCCTCTGAGAGGGTAGTCATCAAATTGACAGGAACAAATGTCAGGAATTGGCTAATGTGGTTTTCTTTTCTAAGGTTCCACTATTTTTTGTCTGTAGATTCTACAGGAGAAGAACCAACCTGGAACTTCTGGAAATACCTGGTGGACCCCAATGGGAAAGTTGTAAAGGCCTGGGACTCTACTGTCTCTGTTGAAGAAATAAGACCTTATGTTACAGAACTTGTAAGGAAAATCATCCTGAAGAAGAAAGATGAATTATGACTTTCAAAAATCCCAGCACGCCAATTACACCTTTATTGAGAATTAGAGCTGGAGTTTGTCTTTTCACATTCCAAGAGAGAATATATGGGGAAGGGAAATTATGACCAGTGGATTCTACATTCATCATCCTAAGAATGTAGAAAACAGCAAGTTATCATGGTCAAAGCAGTTTAATTTTTTTCTCCAACTGAATTCAATTTGACCTTTCTGGGAACGAAGAACTCATCAGCAATTGTTTCTTTCCCAATTCAAATTATTAATTGTTGGTGACACTACAGGAAGTCAGTTCATGTACCTGTAGGAAGAAGGCTCAGAATAACAAGAATTTCCTCATTGGGATCTCACTGAGATCTACAGTTCTGTTGTCATATTTTGATCATGAACTGAATGAAAAAATAAAGAGTAAAAAATGCATGATTGAATTAAGGCATGTGCTAGGAAGAGGGCCAAAACAGATACCTTCAAACCAGGCAGACTTACATAGACATATGTCTTTCTAGTTACCAAGGCCAAATATATTTAATTTCATCTGCCTAGAAAGTCAGTTAAGAAGGGCATGGGGAAAAAACATCTATAAAACTTAAATGAAAGAAATGTGAAGACAAAGTCTCTGTAAAAATTCTCCAAAAGCTATGAGAAGAATTTCTGCATTTTTTCACCCAGTAAAGATTATCAGATTATATTTAAATAGCCCTTTGAACATCTGTAGGACCAGAGCCTATGGCTATCTTTCTTCTATTAGCATTTGGCTTAGAAGAATTACACTTGCCTCATACAATTTATGTTAAATTTATTTTTCAATTTATAACACCATCTGATTTTGCTGCACATACAGACAAACATTAGAGAATCAACATTTTTCCATGGAAATAATTTTTCAAATGTTTAATTGTTGCAAAACGTTACATTGTTTAATACCACATTAATGTTACAAATGTTTAATGGCACCTTTTTCAAATGTAGCACTCGGGCATCTGCTCAGATTTCAGACTGCAGAACTTCTTAGCTCATACTAAAATAATAACACTAGCAATTACAGCCTCATTGTTCTTTGCAAGAAACCCTTTGAAAATCTTGTCAGCAAGAACTCTTTTTATCTCAACAAAAACACAATGTACAGGTCCCCTGCTCTTAACCCCGGGATGCTTTAAGAAGAATCTAGTCTTGTCCAATTGCAGTATTATTGACGAGTGAAAGCTTTTTTTTGCTTTGTAATGCTTTTTAAAGTAGCACAAACAATATTTGTCCATATAGTTGTCAGTGCCCACGTGTACAAATAAGCCTTAATTGTCCTGACCATTGTAAAAACTTTTTCCAACTCATCACTGCCATTATAGCTCTTCAGTATCCAAACAGGCTCTAGTTGAAATCAAAGGCGAGTATTATGGCATGCACTGGCTTGCAGAACAAGAGGGGAAAGAAGAATACTGAATAACTATTGGAAATAAAAGGGTAAATCCTAGAGTACATTATAGTTCCCATGCTTGAACAGCTGCTGTCTCCTGAGGTCTTGGACTCGTTCTATGGAGTGGTCTAAGAAAGTAAGAGCTAGAAGTACTTTGGGATTTGCAGAAAGACCCTGAAGGGCAGAGATTGTACCACACAAAACAAACTGAATTTGCCTGAAAGAAGCTGAGAGCAAGGTTTTTTAGTTTTTAGTGAAAAAAAAAGGGGGGTGGAAGAGAGAATAAAAGGAAGAAGTAACAGAAGTTCAGAAGCAAAAAGAGAGATCAAGGAAGAAGGGAGAAATGAGGAGAAAATGAAAAGACAGGTTGCAGCTAAAGAATCTTTGGGACAAACGGGGCATGGAAATGTTCAGGTCATATTGATACTAATGAGTATGTTCCAAGCTATATCAGCTACTTCTCACTTGGAGTGCAGGAAATTGGTGCTCGTGGCAGTGAATATGTCTGTATTTTCCTCCTCTGATGGTGAGAAAAGTGAACTCTACGGTTCATTCAGTCATTT